AAAAACTTACACATTTACAAGGGGCATACCCAGGTAATACAATAAAACCTCACGCCCCCCAAAAGTGGGGGGACTAAAACAAATAAAAATAACTAAATATAACAACACTACAACATTACCCAACAAGATTACAAAAACTAAATTTAAATTTGCCCATATATCATTTTTTAATCCCAAGTAACCCCTACCATCAAAATAAATAGATGGAAACTTGGGAATGATATATAGGCAAATAAACAAGAAATGAACTAATTATTAACCAGAAAAATGAGTGGTAACTCGAAATTACTGTGGCCCGAATGGCTCGACAACCCAAAACGACGTCGTTTTGAGCTGTCTTTTTTTTTTTTCTCTCTTTTTCTTCTTTATTTCTTTCCTTTTCATTCTTTCCCCTTCATTCTTTCGAACACAGAGACAGAGAGGGAAGAGGAGAGGAGAGATAAGGAGAGAGAGAGAGAGAAGAGAAGGAAAACCGGTGATGGCGGTCGGTGATCTGAAGCTGTTGAAGATGATGATGATGTTGAAGATGATGATGATGTTCAAAATCTGAAGCTGTTCAAAAAAAAATTTAATCTGGATGATGGCGGTGCAAAAAATTATGTTCTGTATATTTATTTATTTTTTACTTGTTTTGGATCTGAAAAAAATAAATAAAAAAAGTTGTTGATGATGATGAATTCGAAAAAAAGTTGTTATGTTCTGTATATTTTTTTTGCGGAACCAACAAGAAGAAATTTTTTTATTTATTTGCAGAACCAAATTTTTGTTGTTAATTTGCAGAACCAGATATATATATATATATATATATGTTTTGATGTTGATCGGGATGTTGATAAACACAACTTTAGACGGAGGAGCTGAACCAGACATCCACGTCTAGAGATGTTGATCTGGATGTTGATCTTCAGATCAAAGACCAAATTGTTCATCTTCTTCTTCTCTTTTATTTATTTCTTCATTGATGTTGATCTGGATGTTGATCTTCAGATCAAAGACCAAATTGTTCATCTTCTTCTTCTCTTTTATTTATTTCTTCATTGATGTTGATCTGGATGTTGATCTTCAGATCAAAGACCAAATTGTTCATCTTCTTCTTCTCTTTTATTTATTTCTTCATTGATGTTGATCTGGATGTTGATCTTCAGATCAAAGACCAAATTGTTCATCTTCTTCTTCTCTTTTATTTATTTCTTCATTGATGTTGATCTGGATGTTGATCTTCAGATCAAAGACCAAATTGTTCATCTTCTTCTTCTCTTTTATTTATTTCTTCATTGATGTTGATCTGGATGTTGATCTTCAGATCAAAGACCAAATTGTTCATCTTCTTCTTCTCTTTTATTTATTTCTTCATTGATGTTGATCTGGATGTTGATCTTCAGATCAAAGACCAAATTGTTCATCTTCTTCTTCTCTTTTATTTATTTCTTCATTGATGTTGATCTGGATGTTGATCTTCAGATCAAAGACCAAATTGTTCATCTTCTTCTTCTCTTTTATTTATTTCTTCATTGATGTTGATCTGGATGTTGATCTTCATTGATGTTGATCTGGATGTTCATCTTCTTCTCTAGACCAAATTATGCAGATCAACATCTAGAAATAATTTATTTCATCTTCAGAAAAAACACGAAAAAAAATCGACACCAAAACGACGTCATTTTAGTGTCGAGCCAAACTCGAGCCACGGGTTTCGAGCTACGTAGCACTACCGTATTCAATAATTCAGAAGTATCATATACATGACACAACATAGCAAAAAACTTTAGCCATCAATTTTCTTTAGGGTAAATTATCAATAGATCTTAATAGTTGGACTTAATTTTCATTAAATTTTATTAAAAATAAATTTTGATAAAACTGTCACTAAAAATAATTTTTTTGTGATAATTTTTTACATATGTCTCTAAAAATTGACAATTAGTGACTTTTTTTATCATAATTTTTATAAATTATCGCTAAAACTTATCATTAGTGACTTTTTTATGACAAATTGTTTCTATAGGACCTATTAGATAATAAGTCTACTTATTATGACCTACACGTAAGTACCCTTTTCCTTATTTTAGCAATTGGACTGGAGGATTTAGCTAACGAGTTGTCAGCCCACCTCGGCCCAATTCAATGATCAAAATTATTTATTTTTTATTATTTTCTGTTTAAATCAATAATTTAAAAATTAAGTTTATTAAACATTTGTAACCATATAATTTTATTATATTTATTTTAAAAAATAGAAAATGATTATAATTTTGTGAATAAATAATTTATTTTTTAGACAAGTTTAATGTAACCACTAATATGGAATCAATTTAATTCTTATATGTATATCACTTGGCAACACTAAAAAAATGAGAACAAAATAAGCTCAAATCCCATAACCTGGACTCTCTAGTCAAAATTGCTGATTTCTTAATGGAGATGGCTTATCTCTTGTCTTCGTAGTAGATTGGAGCATATTATTGGATTTGTAGAGTTCATTATGAGTCTCGTTTTGATAATTTGAATAGTTTAATGTGTAGAGTTCGTCGAGTATTTTATGCTTGTAAAATAAAATTACGTTGATTGGATATCGGTAGTCTCTTAATCGGAACATATTTTTTTTTAACAATTTATTTTTAAAATAATATTTACTATTGACAAGAATATGTTCGTATTAAGGAGTTACTAATATCCGATTAAAGTGATTTTTTACAAGAACTCTACACATTAATTTAGATTATCAAAACAAAATTTATAATGAGTTCCATAGATTCAACAACAAGTTTTAATCCACAGAAGTGAGACAATAAAAGATTGGTTAGTACGGTCCTCTTTGGTGTAACTGTTAAAACAGATTATTGATTATAGTTTAACAGATTATAGATTATGACTTTAATAACAAGCTGTTAATCTGTTTAGTGTAACTGTTGGATTATAGATTTAAGTTGCTTAGTAGTGTTTGTTAAATAAGTTGTAGAGTTTATTTCTTGTTATTCACCATTTGTCTATATTTCTCATAAAAAATAATAATAATATTCTATAGTCCATTTAGGTCTTTTTCTATTTTTAAAAAAATAAAAAATAAAAAAATCTAAGAGTATAACAGTCAATTAATATGTTCACAGTAGAAGCTGATAATCAGAAGTAAAGGATGAACAACTTTTTAGAATAAGCTTTCTTGACTTAAAATAAGTTGTTAAAATAAAAAATTATTTAAAATAAATTTAACCAAATAATCCAAAATAATTTTTCAAAAGACAGAAGTCATAGGGTGGCTAAAAAAAACCAAAAAAACACACTTTTTTGCAGGTGGAAGAAAGGAATCAGGATCCTCTCCTTGCAGCCTCCGTCCTTGCACCCGTCCTTGCAGGCCTTTGGGTCTACTTTTAGACCCAATTTTGATAATCCGAACCGTTCATATTTTATGATTTATTCAGTATATGATACCTGTAAAAAATCAAGTTGATCGGATATCAGAAAGTATGTGTTCGAAAAATTGAACTAAAAACTATTTTTTAAATAATTTAATAAACAGTTTTTCTGAACACATACTTTCTGATATCCGATCAACTTGATTTTTTACAAGTATGATATACTGAATAAATCATAAAATATGAACGGTTCAGATTATCAAAATTGGGCCTAAAAGTAGGCCCGAAGGCCTGCAAGGACGGGCGCAAGGACGGAGCTGCAAGGAGAGACTCTTGACTCGGAAAAAAGCACTGCCCGGGATTCCCACCACTATATATATACCTCTATATACTTGGCTCAACTTAAGCCAACCCAAAGAATCCGAGTTCAGATCCTCTCCTTGCAAGACTTACGAGCATGCGTCCTTGCAACGGCTGAGATCAGCCGTTGCACATCCAACGGCTGAGATTAAAAAAAAAAAAAAATTAGGGCTTTGATTTCAAATCTCTGAATAGGGCTTTGATTTGGGATTGAGAAATTAGGGCTTTGATTTCAAATCTCTGAATAGGGCTTTGATTTGGGATTGAGAAATTAGGGCTTTGATTTCAAATCTCTGAATAGGGCTTTGATTTGGGATTGAGAAATTAGGGCTTTGATTTCAAATCTCTGAATAGGGCTTTGATTTGGGATTGAGAAATTAGGGCTTTGATTTCAAATCTCTGAATAGGGCTTTGATTTGGGATTGAGAAATTAGGGCTTTGATTTCAAATCTCTGAATAGGGCTTTGATTTGGGATTGAGAAATTAGGGCTTTGATTTCAAATCTCTGAATAGGGCTTTGATTTGGGATTGAGAAATTAGGGCTTTGATTTCAAATCTCTGAATAGGGCTTTGATTTGGGATTGAGAAATTAGGGCTTTGATTTCAAATCTCTGAATAGGGCTTTGATTTGGGATTGAGAAATTAGGGCTTTGATTTCAAATCTCTGAATAGGGCTTTGATTTGGGATTGAGAAATTAGGGCTTTGATTTCAAATCTCTGAAACATTGACATGAATAATAAAAATCAGTGTTCATTTGGGCTTTGAATTTGCTTTCAGTGTTAATGAGTTTGTTCTGTGTATGAAATGTTATGGCAACTAATTCAGCATGAGTATTTGCTTTCAGTGTTAATTAGTTTGTTCTGTGTATGAAATGATAGTTGAACTAATTATCTGATTATGGCAATATGATAGTTGAAGTAATTATCTAAGTATGGCACATTTTGGTTTAGCTGAACCATTACTTAAAATCATACATTGTAGCAATATTCAGTTAGATAGGAGGAAAGTAATATTCAGTTACCTATCAAGTGGGTGAAGGAATATATTAAGCAAGTAGATAAAGAATTCCTCTTGGTTTGAAGTGCTATGCAAGTAGATAGGAAGTTCAACTTGTTGCATCCCACCACTAGACTCTCGTGTTCAAGTAATCACAAGTAAATACTCATTTATTCATAGAAATATAGATATTTTGCAAATAGTGAATCACAAAGATAGGAGCATAAATCAGGAAATGTTGAGAGAGTAATTGAAAATGAATCACAAATATAGATATTTGGATTAGTCTTATATAGATTGCCAAATTTTAAAAGGGTTACCTAAACTATGGTTTTTTTTGAACTACCATTTCAAAAGTCGGAGTATGGCTTTTTTTGAACTACCATTTCAAAGCTGAAATGTCCCTTTTCCTCTATGGAACTACCATGGTTCAAATATTTGTCATGTATGCAGATTTTGAAAAATGGCATCTTCCTCTAACATTAGCAACATAAGACTACAACCAAGAGTGTGCAATTGTGGAAGAACCGCTGCCATACGTATTGTAAAAACCAATGAGAATGGAAATGAAGGACGTTTGTTCTTTGTTTGCCCATCAAGATATGTAAGTTTGTAATTCTAGCTGTTTTCTTCGTTTAGTAGTCAAATTAATATTTGTCTTCTTCGACTAACTTATTCTCATGCATTGCAGAGTAAGACTCCCACTCCCCATTGCAATTACTTCAAGTTCGTGGATGAAGATGATGAAGACGTTACGTCCAGAATCTGTACGAACTATACAGCTTGTGATGGTATAACAGTACAAGACTTTAATGATGTCAGGACGAGGCTTCATTCCATGGAAACGAACTATGGTCGAAGGCTTCAAAGGATGGAAAGGAATATCAAAGCGATGGTGTACTTCATTGTATTTGCTACGATTTTCTACTTTATGATGTAACTTGGAAGTTTGTAGCATTTTGGCTTGTATGTACATGAAGTTGTTAGCTTGTTATCTATTATCTATTTTCCTCAACTTGTGGCCTCAACTTTCGAATGAATGAATGGAATGAATTTTGGAATGAAGTATGGTACATTTTCGAATGAATGAATGAATTATCTATTAGTTACTGAATGAAGTATGGCATATTTTGGAATGAATGAATGAATGAATGAATGATGGAATGTTATCTATTATCAATGAATGATGGAACCAATGATAGAATGTTATCTGTTATCAATGAATGTACCATATTATCTGTTATGAATGATGGAACCAATGATGGAATGTTATCTGTTATCAATGAATGTACCATATTATCTGTTATGAATGATGGAATGTTATCTGTTATCAATGAATGTACCATATTATCTATTATGAATGATGGAATGTTATCTGTTATCAATGAATGATGGAACCAAGACAGCTCTGTTACCAACCATGTATGGCATTTGAACCATTACTGTTATCAATGAATGATGGAACCAAAACAACTCTGTTACCAACCATGTATGGCATTTGAACCATTACTGTTATCTGTTATCAATGAATGCAAGACAGCTCTGTTACCAACCATGTATGGCATTTGAACCATTACTGTTATCAATGAATGATGGAACCAAGACAGCTCTGTTACCAACCATGTATGGCATTTGAACCATTACTGTTATCAATGAATGATGGAACCAAGACAGCTCTGTTACCAACCATGTATGGCATTTGAACCATTACTGTTATCAATGAATGATGGAACCAAGACAGCTCTGTTACCAACCATGTATGGCATTTGAACCATTACTGTTATCAATGAATGATGGAACCAAGACAGCTCTGTTACCAACCATGTATGGCATTTGAACCATTACTGTTATCAATGAATGATGGAACCAAGACAGCTCTGTTACCAACCATGTATGGCATTTGAACCATTACTGTTATCAATGAATGATGGAACCAAGACAGCTCTGTTACCAACCATGTATGGCATTTGAACCATTACTGTTATCAATGAATGATGGAACCAAGACAGCTCTGTTACCAACCATGTATGGCATTTGAACCATTACTGTTATCAATGAATGATGGAACCAAGACAGCTCTGTTACCAACCATGTATGGCATTTGAACCATTACTGTTATCAATGAATGATGGAACCAAGACAGCTCTGTTACCAACCATGTATGGCATTTGAACCATTACTGTTATCAATGAATGATGGAACCAAGACAGCTCTGTT